AGTTGTTAGCTATATAAAATATTGATTATAGTCCAATATATACTATGGTTTGGAATATTCAAAATTCAATATTATTGCGAAATTATAATTAGAACTACCTATTCGATTTTACCAATTTTTAATAAAACTTTTTATTCGGTTTATCCGAATATCCGCTGGAGTTAGTTAAAGACAGATAGACAGATACAGATAAACTCCGGTTTATCTGAACGGATAGACGGATCCCATCTCTAGGATCAAGTGATGACCCTTTCCTGAGTATGAGGTGTGACAAATAAGCACTGACTAATTTATTTATACAAATAAATTAGTTAGTGCATATTTGTCAACAGATGATTGGTCACACCCTGATCTTAAATTTCGTAAAAATTAGGTCAATTCGGAATCGACCTAAATTGTGAAATGACTCAGAACAGATGATCATAAAAAGTAAGAGAAATCTTACTTTTCTTACTTCTATTACTTTTGTTACTTTTGTTACTTTTGTTACTTTTATTACTTCAGGTAGATCGATGACATATAGAACATTCGGTTTTTCTTTATTATCATGGGGATAAGGGTTTTAATGATGAAATCGTGTAAATAGATAATATAGAGGAAATTAACCTCGAATGTAAATAAAACTTTTATTATAAATAAAAGGTTTTCTGCCCAGGTGGAAAAGTAACTGCGATACCCTCAAGTAAATATATTTGCTTAAATAAAACTAAAGTATTCAACCCATAATTAAAGTAAAACTATAACCCAACCCGAACTAACAAACTATCATTAAACCCATCGTATTCAACTATCGTTCGCCGTAAGTCACGTGATCAAGTCGTTAACGCAAGAGAAGAACTCGAACTCCGATTCAACATATCGTAACCCCAGGTTAAGGAAGTAGAAAGAAGATAAGAGGAAGCAAGGGTTAATAGAAGAATAGGTTGAAGGAAAGACTTAGAAGATTAGTACTTACCTACGGATAAATCAACCAACCAAATCTAACACGCCTAGAGATGAGACACTGCGCAGTGCAATTTTCATAATTCTGGCTAGCTTTATAATCCAGGTTTGAATTACCAATCAGAAATCGCCCGAATCTGTATCACCTGATTAATAGAATCCATTGTTCATAATTCTGGTCAGACTTGCAGATCATTTGATCACATTTAAAGTTGTTTTGTTCTAGATCTGGCCAAATGATCTGCAAAACAACAAAACCTGACATTTAAACTAACCTTGGAGCATTGATTAAAAATGATGGGAGCCCAACTTTACACATATGAAGTAGATGTTTTATATATATAAACATGAAACCTAATGAGTAAAAGTCTCTAAGGAGTGTAGCAGTTTCAAAAAAACCTCGATTTTCCATCTCTAAACACGAAAGTCCCAGCATAACCACAAATCGAGGGCGCAGTCACGTGATCTTCCAATCCTCCAACTCCTATCATTATATTTCATATTTTATACTCACTGTTACTAATTAATTAGTGTATGATTAATTTTTATAATTATAACGATAATGAAAATAATAACGATAACGAAAATAAAAACTCTATTTTCTTCAAATGGAAAGCCCAAATTTAACTAAAACACAAAAATGTACAAGGTGCCAATGTTTTCGACCATATGCAGAGTTTGTAATAACTGAAGATGATATTCGAACCTGTTGCCTAAATTGTCGCATTTCTACTTCTCTTGCAAAAAAAAGAAAGCGTCAAGAAATTGATTGTTCTTCAATTGAAAAAGAAAATATAATCAATTTTGTGGATGTTATAGATTTTGTCTATAACAATCTTACAGAATATGAAAATTTAAATGAAGATTTTGAAGGACATACGCATTTTTATCTTCAATTTTTTATTGACTTGGATTCGATTTATGAGGAAATTTTCATTGAAACTACTGAGAAGGATAAAAATTTAGATATAGCCAATCTAATTATAAACACGATTGGTAATGGGGATGGATACATATATATTTATCATTCAACATATAATAGTAAATTATCTAAATTTGTTACTTTTACTTATTGGTGTAATTCAAGAGATGAATTATATAAGCATAGCAAAAAGGTTGATGATACTGCAAAACAACATAATATCGAAGCACGTATAGATTGTTATGATTGTAAAGGTCTGGTTACAATAAAGATTTATCCTGATGATTATCTTGTATCTGTCGATATTTCCTATAAGATTTTACATCCGTGACCAGAAAAGTTAAATATGATAGAAGAAATCAAAACCCATATAAATACCTGCATTTATCGAAGTGTTCCAGATATTTATAAGTCTATTAAAGATCAGCAATTAGATGAGTATGAGCTTTTAACTATAAAACAGGTATATTACTGGTGGACGTTAATGTCACAAGGAGAATATCGATATGATGATGATGAACTTGCTTCCGTGAAAAAATTTCTTCAAGTGAAAATCAAGAACTTATTTTTTTTGAAAACCACGCCTTTGCCTTTGTAACATCATTTATAGATATATTACCATTAACTTTATTAGTAGAATTAATAATTGACGCAACTTTTAATACAAACAAATTAAAGTATGAATTATACGGAGCTATAGCAATTATAGATGGTGCAGGATTCCCCATCTCATATTTATTTGTATCAGCTGGCAAAAATCGTAACCTTACTTATATTATTTCTACATGGTTCACAGCATTAAAAATACGACAATTAACAAATATATGTATATTTTATACTGATAAAGATCTTTCTCAAATTAATGCTGCTAAATCTGTATGGCCAAATGTCAATATACAATTATGCATGTGGCATGTTAATCGTGCAGTGGAACAAAAACTATCATCACGCACAAAACTGCAAATAATACGATATAATCCAGTTGAAGTCTACCAGCAATGTAATATAATTGATATTTCATGGCAACTGGTTTTGTTTGATCAAACAAATACAAATAAAAAAAAATCAGGTTTTCAACTAGCTGATAAAGAAACCTGTGCAGAAATTAAAGATCTTATGATAAAGCATTTTAATTGACATATGCTTTTACCAAAAGAGAATAAGACTTTTGTAACAGATCCACAACAAATATGGACCGAATGTGTTAGTGAGATGTATCAATATTGCCATAATAAAAATCTTATTTTTATATGGTCTTATATGTGGTATGAATGGTATTCTCCAAAGCAGTGGATTCTTTGGGCCAGATCATCATTTGAAGAAATTAGTACTTTACATACAACTATGGCGATTGAATCTCACTGGCGACTTTTAAAATGTGATCATCTTTACAAGTTTAATCGACCCTGTTTAGATCTTTTGTGCTTTGTAATTATAAAAAAGGCAAGTACAAATGTAGTGTATATTTATATATATATATATTTAT